CCCTGTCCCTGGACGCGGGCTGGGCCCCACACGTCCAGGTGGAGCGTCTGCAGTGGAGCCTCTGTGGGAGGAAACGAGGAGGAGTGAGGAGCGGCGCGCTGCCGCCCCTCGACGCAAGGAATGCAGGGCGGCGCAGGCGAGGGAGGGAGGGCAGGCAGAGACCTGGGAAGACCAGAGACCAGGGAGCGAGAGTGCATGCTACGCAGGCGAGGCAAGGAGGGGTGACCAAGACGGTGGTGCCACAGGAGAGTGTCGTGCGACAAAGCGCGACACTCGCAGGGGGCCGCCAGCTGACCAGACGTAGACGCAGACGCAGCTACCTGAGGGGACTCAGTGGTCAGTGTGTACAGACTCGAGCCAGGTGCACGGGTGAACGTGGCCAAGTGCCGGCCCGTCCTAGCACACGTACAGTGAGTCACTCGCTGACTCGCAGGAGTGAACTGGTCAACCTCCCGATCCTGGAGGTCAGCTCCACTCACCAAGTTCGTAGAGAACGAGGGGAGGTAAAGACCTGACAGCGAGCCGGACGGGACGGCCGGACACGGCAGAACCGTGGAGTAGTGGGCAAGGACTGGACCCCCGGAGGGGTCCGCCAGGGAGACTGGAACTGGCCGACTAAGCGGCGTGAGTGTGGTGCAGTCGCGAAAGAAGGAGCGAGAAGCTCCTGAGTCAAGGGTGAAGGTGTGCGAGACCGTAGTTGGCGCAGTACCAGAGAGAGCAGAGTCACCAGCACCTGAAGCCACGGCCTCACCAGTACCTAGAGCAGTAGACGTACTAGCACCGAGAGCAGCAGCCTCACCAGCACCTAGAGCAGGAGACGCACTAGCACCTAGAGCAGCAGCCTCACCAGGGTCAGGCGGTACGCACAGATAACAGGCACGATCAGCACTAGTAGGCAATGCATACATGGCAGTGAGAATAGCATCATAGTCAAGCGCAAAGATATCTACCCTCTGTCCATGCAGCTCCAGCCAGGTGGGGAGCTCAGCCTCGTCGCCAAACACTGTGCGCCAGTCGTCGCTCAGACGGGCGAAGCAGCGGGACTGTGTGTGACCAAGCGTCCCACAAGGCTGACCAGTCCTAGCACCTGTGCGAATGACGTACGGGCAGCGAACTGTACGCGTAGACCTGCTACACTGAGCGTACCACTCCTGGAGCTGCCGAGGCGTAAGTGGCTCGCGTGGACGCCCCTGCAGCTGCAGCTGGCCACTGCTAGACGCTCCCAACTGACCAGCCCCAGGGCGACAGCTACGACGGCTACCGCGACAACCCCAGCTAGTATACCACTCACTAAGCTGCTGGGGCGTGAGAGGCTCGCGTGAACGTCGCTGGAGCTGCATCTGGCCACCTGCCAGTAGCAGCAGCAGCAGCGCGGGCAGGGCAGGCGTGGCAGGCAGGTAGGCAAGCAGGCAGGCAGGCAGGCAGGCAGGAAGGCAGGCAGGCAGACAGGCAGACAGACAGGCAGGCCGGCAGGCAGGCAGTCAGGCCGGTAGGCAGGCAGGCAGGCGCGCAGGCAGGCAGGCAGGCAGGCCGGCAGGCAGGCAGGCAGCCAGGCAGGCAGGCAGACAGGCAGGCCGTCAGGCAGGCAGGCAGACGCTCACCAAAGGCTGGGAGAGCAGGCGCTTACCTGGCGAGCAGGGCCGGCGCTCGACAGCGGCGACGTCGGGGCCGCAACACCGGCTGCAGAGCAGGGCCGAAGCAGCTGCAGGGCGGGGCCGCTTCAGCGGCAGGTCGGGGCCGTGGCAGCTGCAGGGCGGGGCCGCATCAGCGGCAGGTCGGGGCCGTGGTAGCTGCAGGGCGGGTCCGCATCAGCGGCAGGTCGTGGCCGAGGCAGAGGGCCGCGCGCGGCTCGGCGCGGGCTGCGCTGACAGCGCGCTGAGCTGCTGCAGGCAGTAGCGGGCCGCGCGCGGCTCGGCGCGGGCTGTTGCGGGCCGCGCGCGGGCCGCGCGAGGCAGTAGCAGGCCGCGCGCGGCTCGGCGCGGGCTGCTGCGGGCCGCGCGCGGGCCTCGCGAGGCCGTAGCAGGCCGCGCGCGGCTCGACGCGGGCTGCGTGGGCTCGGCGCGGGCTGCGCGCGGCAGCTGCGGGCTGCGCGCGGCTGCAGCGGGCTGCGCGCGGCTCGGTGCGGGCTGCGCGCGGCTGCAGCGGGCTGTGCGCGGCTCGGCGCGGGCTGCGTGGGCTCTGTGCGGGCTGCGCGCGGCTGCAGCGGGCTGCGCGCGGCTCGGCGCGGGCTGCGCGGGCTCTGTGCGGGCTGCGCGCGGCTGCAGCGGGCTGCGCGGGCCTTACGGGCCTCTAGGGGCGGCGCGTGGGCCTTACGGGCCTCTAGGGGCAGCGCGCTGGCCTAGGGCAGCAGGAGGCAGCGCTAGGGCTGCTGGACGGCGCACATAGTGCAGCACGTCACAAGGCAAGGCAAGGCAGGCAGGTACGTGGGGTAGCGCGGTAACCGCAGCGGTAGGTGGGCCCGAAAAAAAAACGGTCCTACGGACCTTAGTGCTCTGATACCATGTCAGAATCTAGCAGCAGGAATGAATGAACTAGCAGCATGCAGGAGTACAAGTAGTAAACCCTAATTGGGCTGTACCCCATATGGGCTACCCCACTACAGCCTAGACAATATACAGCATATATGTTTGACACGAGAGGCCAGGTAGCTATGTAATACAGTTAATAAGGGAATGTACCCCTCAGAGTACATGGCTAGATAGTTTGCTATTTAATTTCTTGTACTCCTACTCTCTAATCATCTTGTTCTCTTTCAACTATTATTCAACAAGGTCACTACAGAGACTTCACTGTCTCCTTTCAGGCTTAACACATTCTATCCTGTCCACTGATCCTTTGGTTGTATTCAGCACCTGTAACCTCTAAGAAGCAAAAGATTAAGACTAAGATTGTGACAAATGAGGAAGAATTTGTCGAAACACAATCGCAAAATAAAACGAATGATAATCCGACCTAAAAAGTCATTAATTCAGGAAAATTTTATGTGTTGATACTGCTTGCTGTAGGAAACCTTCTGTGCTAGGCTTCATTATTTATCAGTGAAGGTGAAATATATATATTTTTTTGGTGTAAATATATTATCAAATATAGATACATCCGAAGTCGTAACTGTATGTCTTGGAGGGTCTAAACCACAACACGTGTGTGCAGTATTACCCCCCCTGCGGCAAGTTACGGAGGCTGATGGAACGTGCGCGGGTTGCGCCAGATAGAGAGAAAAGGGGCCGCCCAGCTTGTTGGCCCATCTGTCCCGCATATCCTCTGAAGCTGCTTCCTCTCATCCGCCGTCACCTGGCTCCAGTTGTCCATCTTCCAGAAGCTTCCCCTTTCGCCTGCTGTCGCCACCCTTCCCCTTGACGCCAGCACTACCCTCGCATGCGTCATGAAGTCCAGCACAGCACGTCTCCCCACCTTTTTCCTTTCGAAAGGAGCTGCGCGCCAAACCGCATCACATCGTGCCAGCCATATCTGCCTAATCACCACCGATGTCAACGTCATTTCCGGAAAGTCTGACGCCGTGCCCCCTTCTCCGAACAGTAGGTCCCCTAGACAGCTCACCGACCTGACTGGATTCAGCATGTGCAGCGTCCTCTTAAGCGCACCGATGACCGGCTGTATGACCGGGCAACTGTAGAGGCAGTGTGTTAGGGTTTCTTCCTCACCACAGTGCGCGCAAGCGATCCTGTTCCTGAAGAAATCCAGCCTTTCCCCCACCTGGAGGTTCATACTGTGGATCCTGAGCAGGACGTCACTTGCCTTGTTTGGCACACAAATCGAGTCCCGAGTCTCAATAACCCTCCGCCAGTCAATCTTTTTGCCCCACGCATCTTCCCACTCCGCCTGTCTCCAAGATCGCCCTTTCGATTTGGTTAGCACTGCTCTTACGCTCCGTAGCGGCACCAGCTCCCCTTCAGCAAAGAGTCCCGTCTGGGACAACAGCCGTACCTTCGGGTCGCCCACTGGCCCTACCAAATAGCCCTTCTGAACCGCCATCGGCTGGAGCCTGCACGCTTCGAAACACGTTCTCCTTGCCCGCGCATGAGCTTCTACTTTCCCGTCCTCGCCGAGGGACATATTGGACGTGCAGACCTCCGTGCCTTCCCCCCCTTCCACTGCCCATAAGGGCCTGGTCAGTTGGCCTCGGAGGACATATCTCACCACTCCAGACGCCTTCGCCACAGCTTCCGCTGTCGCCGGCTCTTCAATCAGTTTCCTCCACTCAGACGGCATAGCTCCGTATGCTTTCCTTGCCATGACCGCCGCTTCCTTGCTCCCAAGCTCTATCACAAGCTCATCTTCCTCCTTCACCCCTCTTCGTCCCCCCGGGCCGTCTGTGAGCAGGTCCCGTACCCGCGTGGTGATGAGGGCCGCCGTGCCTATCTGGTGACCGAAAGGACTTTCCCCCCGGTGCATGATGTTCCTGTTAAAACATATGAATTCCTCCTCCACTTCCCATCTATTCTTTGGCGCCGGCAGCGTCGCCAGCGGTGACGACCAGGACACCTTCACGGCCGCCTTCCAGCGTTCGCTGCCACGTGGCCAGTGTTTCATCGCCGACGGGTGCGCGTACAGCGTGGCCAGCCCTTGCGGGAGAGCCGCCGCCTTTTCCGCCAGCCAGCGGCGTGTGCCATCCGGCTCTTGTAGAAACTTCCCGATCCTGCGAATCGCCAACCCGTCCAAGCATAGTTTTGGGTCCAGCTGGCCCAGCCCCCCGTCTTTCCGCGGCAGACATGCCAGGTAGGCACTCCACAGAATGAAGATTTTCTCCTCCGCCGCTTCCCCGACCGATACGAACGCGTGACAGAGCTTCCTGATTTTTTCCCAAATCTCATCCGACGGCGAATATACTTGCGCCTGGAACATCAAGACTGGCAGGACGTAGCAGCTAATCACCGCCACTCTTGCTGTTGTCGTGAGATATTGCGCTTCCCACTTCCTTAGCTCCTCCTTTATCCTTTCGTACGCCATCCCCCAGGAAGGACCCGAATCTCCGTTGGGTGTTACCCACACCCCCCCAGAAGCCTCTCCGGTTCACCCTGCACCGACCATTTGTACGGGATGTCCGCCGGCACCGGCTCTCCCCTGTTGCTCCCCAGCGGCACGACCACCGACTTGTCGCAGTTCACCTTCAGCCCCGACTGCTTTCCGAAGGTGTCCAGCACCTCCACCGTCCTCCGCAGCTGGGCCTCCCCGCTCAGCAGAAAGGATGTGTCATCGGCGTACCCCATGTACGCCAGCGGCTCTTTCCCCACCGGTCCGATACCCAGCCCTTCACGCTGCGTGGCTCTGTACAGCGGCTCGAGTGCGCAGAGAAAAAGGTATGGAGCCAGGGGGCAACCCTGCCTGACTCCTCTGCACATCTCCACCCTGTCGCTTAACCACCCGTTTATGATGATCCTTGTTCCTGCGTCTACGTGCAGTCCTCTGGTCCAACCAATGAAGTTTTCGGGCATGCCCAGCTCCTTCATGACCCTGAAGAGGAAGGATCTTGAGACCGTGTCATACGCCTTCTGAAAATCCACCAACAGTAGTAGCCAATCCTCCCCGCCGCTGTTCGCCGCCTTCACTGCATCCGCTACCACCGAATCTGCATCCGCAAGGCTTTTCCCAGGTAAGAAGCCATGCTGCTCCTTTGATAGGACCTTGCCCAACACCTTCTTCAGTCTCGTAGCCATGACCTTCGTGATCACTTTGTACATGGCTGACAGGAGCGTGATGGGGCGGTAATTCCCCAGCTGATCCGTTGGCCCTTTCTTGTGCAGCAATACGGTCACCGAGGTCGAGAGGCTCTCTGGCAACTTTGCCTTCTCAGCAAACTCTCCGACGAAGTCCATCACGTGCTTCTTCAGCAACTCCCAGTGCGCGATGAAAAACTCTGCTGGCAGTCCATCCTGACCGGGGGATTTCCCCTTCGGGAGACTCTCCAGCGCCTGCTTGACTTCCTCCTCCGTCCAAACAGCCCCAAGGAGTTCAGCATCCGCCTCTGAGAACTTGGCGCCTTCTGAAAAAGCGCCCCAGTCCACCTCCTCCTCTGGTACAACCCCCAGGTTGACCTGAAGTGATCCGCGGCCGCCTTTAGCACCTCCTTTGGCCCCTGGTACATCGCACCACGGTGAGAAATCACCCGCACCGCCGTCCGTTTTTTCCGCACTTTAATTTTTGCTGACAGGTATGGCGACGGGACTTCCCCACTGAGTTCCACCTTGATCCCCGCCAAGACCTGCATCCGGTCTTTGCAGCTCTGAAGGTACGCCTCTAGGTGCGCCTCTTTTTTAATTAGCTTGTTCTGCGCCCTCCTGTCCTCGGGATACCTCATCACTTTGTGTCTTAAACGCTCCACCACACCCTCCAGGTGTTGCACTGTCGCCCTCACCCTCTTCCGCTCTTCTCGTGAGTATTCTCTTAAACCCATGCTGAGCAGCTTCAGCTTCTTCCCTAGGTCCATCCCCTCCTCGTTCTCGAATTTCTTAAGGATGTTAGCAGACACCGTACTAACCCCGCTCCCCCTCGCCTGTCTTGCTTGCATCCGCCATATACCAGGGCCCTGTTCCGCCGGCGCCGCCACCGCGAGTGCAAGTTGTATTCCGAACCAATGGTCCGACAGACCCCTTGGGATCTTAACATGGCGCGCGTCGGCCAGCAGCCCGAGCAGTGAGAAAGACACCAGGCCCCTGTCGATGCGTGTGCTCGCCTTAGTCGCCCTGTCCCTGAAGGTATACTCCGGGCGGTTTGGATGAAGCACCCGAAAGGCATCCCTGAGGTCCTCCGTTCTCCAGAAGCCCAGCAGCCGCTGATTCTCGTTCCCCGAACCCGAGCGCGACGACTTGTCCAGATCGGGGTCCTCCACCAAATTCAGGTCACCCAGAACCACCAGGTGTGCGCACGTCGGCTGAGCTTGAACAAACACCGGGAGACAGCTTCTGAAGAAAACGCCTCTGGCACACGGCTGCGCAGGCAGGTACATCGCAATCAACCTGAAGGAGGTCTGCGAGCACGACACTGTGACCCCCACCAGCCTTCCCGATGGGTGAGTGACCACCTCTGTGAACTTCACTTCCTCATTAAAAGACAGCACCGCAACCCCACCTGCTCTTTCGCAATTTCCCACCACCGCTGCTGATGATGGTTTCAATTGCGTCCAGAAATTATGATCTTCTATTATTCTCGTGTCCGTAAGCACCACCACATCTGCGATCGTTCTAATCCACTTAGCGTGTGCAGTTCTTTTGCCGTTGCTCCCGAGGCCGTTAACATTGACCTCGCACAAGGTAAGGTTGTGTTTGTTATCCATTAATCCACATGCGCCAGCGCCTGCGTAAAACTGGAACCATGCGCCTTGCCACATGCCTCCTGGACGCAAAGCCATTCCTCCCGGCTTCCCCCCGTGGAGATCAGCACCACAGCAGGGTCGCGTAAGATCTTCTTCACCCGCGCATCTAGCGGCAGGGATGCAGCTGCTCAGGTACGAGGCGACGAAGTCGTCAGCAGACTCGATTAGGGCCCCAACAGCCTGAAAAACGAGGTTAGTGCCCGACTGTTTACCATTGATCGCGTGCAGACGCTCGAGAGTCAGATTCCACTTGCCGATGTTCTCCTGGCGCTCCGTAACGAAGTCATCATGGAACCTTGTCATATGCATGCCTCCACAGAAATCGCAGGTGAGCGAGGGGTAATGCACAAGAAGCTGCTTATGATGCACAGAATCGACCAGCAAGTGCCACCAGCGATACTTATCCCCCGGGTGCCCCTTAACCAGACCCCGGATCTTGTCAGTGTCCGCTCCGGTAACCGGGTCCACCACCCTGTGGAAAGCAGCACCGCTAAGGAAAGGCGTCCGGCCCCGCTTCTCCAGCACTGTCTTCACGAGGTACTCATACACCATCTCCGATGTAATGGCAGCCGGAACACTCTTCAGCAACACCTCAATGGAGTCCGGGTTGGCCGCACGCTCCTGGATGTAAATCGGGTTCTCCGGATGCTGCCAATCCAGGTAAATGCTCTCCCCATTCAACAACTTGTGCTGAATCCTGCGACACCACACGTAGTTCGCGTCCGATGCCTGCTGAAATGTAACTTGCAGCCTCCCATACCGCTTCTTTGACAGCCACGCCGGCAGAAGGACCTGGCACTTGGTCGTCACCAGAACGTGAGCAGACATGAATTTCCTCCATATCGCGAGAAGACCCTTGACCGTGTCAATGGTGCGAGGAACTTCCTCCTCATACTTAATCGGAACCAGCAGAGTAATGGAGAAGCCTGCGCGTGCAGCGATTTCACCCACCTTCACCGGGTCAAAACGCTCCTCCGGATCATCGCTGAGATAACCATCATCCTCTTCCTCCTCGTCTTCAGTCCCTTCCTCAGGTGCTTTGGGAGCAGCGGTCGGCGATTTCACCTCCTCTCTGTCTTCCTTTTCGTTGGTAGAGGTGTCCCTTCCTTCAGGTGGCGCGTCCGATGAAGGAAACTTCAGCGCAGACAGCCGTTTCACCAGAGAAGCACGAACGCCATCCCCGAACGGGCCTTCCACCTCCTTCAAATATGGTTTCGGCGTGGCCGGCTCCGACTGATGACCCTTCGCAGCCAGATCCAAGGCATCAGGACCCTTAGCCTGAGCAGCCGGCTTAGAGCCCTTTTTCACCACTCGAGGCATGGTGCGATGATGAGAGCACGAGAAGCTGCGACCAAGATATGATGAAAGGCACAAAAGTGCTTTGGTTGCTCTGACTGCTCTGAGCACCGAAAGTTTATAACCGACGTGACCACGCAAAAACCTTGCTTTCTTCCGTGGGTGGTGATACATGTGGTTCTTGTCCTTGGTAGTTGTAAAAACCTTGATGGTAGCAAGTCGCGATAGGACCTTAGGAGACGCCTTGGGAACATATGAGGTTGTCATCAGCCTTGGGAAAGCCTTAGATAAACGTTTCTGGATAGTTACCAACGGTGAAAACGGAGTGCCTGACAAAGAACTTGAAGTTACAATGCTCGACATTTGAGCACATAAAAGGTATCTTCTTGTTCGTCTTGCCATGTAGAATCCGAAACCGTTATTATTGTGAGTAACTAATTAGAAATTGGTTGACATTGGGTCTTCCTTAGCTCCTGACAGAATCCATGGCGGTGCCCAACGCAGACCATGGAGGGCAGCGAAGGTGAAATATTGTATACATGGCGTTTCCATGTACGATTTTCGGCCCACCGTCAGTTGTTCGGTGCGACGATTCAGCTTCAAGCGAGGTCCCCTGAGTCCAGTAGGTGAGCTGGTTGCCACGCTTCCACAGCTGATTGCTGCCCTAGGGTCACGTGATTGTGCTAGGGTCTACGTGGCGATGACGGTGCGTTTGCTAAGAGATGAGTCAGCATGCATAAATCAACCGTGTGGGTCATTACAGCGTTTGTCGCCTAGCTGAACTGGCATCTCATTGGCGGAAGTGTACAGACCACTTGAGTTGGGCGCAGTGAGTGACATGACGAGACAATGCTCTGTTGTGGATAAACATCGGTCCGTCAAGGTTGACATCTGTTAGGGAGCTCCGTCAAGGTTTTACCTGTTGCACGCACCGCACGCTGGGATGGATCTTTCGAGCGCGTCCCGTCTGTCCTGGTCCTGTGGGCTGCTGCACAACTTTTCCTAAGTTCCACCATACAGGGCTGTATGCTTTGCTGGTTGCTGACGTGCTGCTGCAAGGTTTGCTCGGCTCTTGGAATTTTTGAACGTTGCCAGCATCAGGCAAAATAGCCTTGTGTCAGAACAGAATCGCGTGTACAGCGAAAGTCTGACGGGGAGCAACGTTCCTGCCTCTACGATAGTCTCTCCATTCTACTCCGTGTCAAACTGTCAAACCGAAGTTTGACATCTTCTACCCAGAACTTGCCAACTGTAAAAAGTTGTTAACCATATGGAATCGGATCCCTCACCCTTGAAGTCATGAACAGAAATCCCACAGTCAAACAACACCGCGAAACACCCATCCATAAAAGGGTACACGATGGCCCTGGAGAAATGTTCAGCTTCCAATCACACAACGAAGTCCTCCTCAGCAGGAATGGCGCAAATTTCGGTGTTTGCAGCAAAGTAGGACTCCTTGGGATCTCCAATTTCCTGCATTTTTCTTGCGGAGCAACCTTATCCTTATAGCAGAACCCACTCAAGCTTACTCCACCCCTATAGGATGGTATAGCCTCCGAACCTCCCAATCTCCTCTCGCCCAGTCGAAGTTATAATCTATTCCTCTAGGCCCCCGTCATAACGAGGTTTATATCGCGTACAGCCGTCATGGACGAGAGAGCCGCCAGTCAGGTGCGCTTCCCGCTCGCGGCCGGGTCATGTTCGCGCGCCCGCTTCCCTTTAGGATCTCTTTTCCAGCTATCCTCGCTATGGAGTCGCTCCGCTGTGAGCCAGTGCGCGTCGCTGAATCTTTCCACCAGTGTCGACGCCGTAAGTGTACCCCAATGTTACGTTCTCACAATAAGTCACAACGCATATGCTATGCGGGTCATAGAGATTAAAGCGTTTAATATCCGCTTTTCTGCTGTCGTTCAATCACCGTTATGGCGGCTTCTTTCTATCCGGAGCGCGTGTGTTCCAGATTTGCACCTGGCCGGCTTCACTGTCGACGGTTAGGCGCGCCGACTGTGTCAAGGTTACTTGAGAATAATGATAAAATATATATATATATATATATATATATATATATATATATATATATGAAAACGATACTACGACTATGTATCGTTTTTCAACTCTCGAATCCTCGAATTCGCGTAATCCTTTCATTCCACCAATTTTCCTTCATTCCGTCAACTCCCCCTATTCCCCTCAATCTCCCAATACCCCTTAATCCGCATCCCGCGATTCAAGCGCAGCACAAGCCAATAAAGGTGGCGGTGGCGGTGGACGGCAGCGAGAACAGCATCGAGGCGCTGCGAGCCGCCATCCGCATGTTCGGCCCCACGGCCAAGGAGATCCACATCGTGCACGCGCGCCGCCCCTTCGACCATGGTACCGCCGCCACGCGCGCCCCGCCTGCCGTCTGCCCCCTCCGTCCCTGCCCCGTCCCGGCCCATGTCGTAATTTCTGTTTCTTTCGCGTCCTCATCTCCTTAGGAATTCATTTCCCCATCCGCCAACCTATTTTCCCCCTCTAACCACCTTACCTCTCCCTCTCCCTCTTCTCCCCTCCCCTCTCGTCCCTCTTCACCCTCCCCTTCTCCCCCTCCCCCCTCTCCCCTCTCCCTCTCTCCCCCTCTCTGCCCCATTTACCCCCGGTGTCCCCCAATTTCCCCTCATCTCCGCGCGTAGATTTCGACGTGGAGAATACCCCCCTATGGCAGCAGCCCTTTCAGCGGATGGAGCGCCAATCGCGCGCCGACTCGCGCGAGCTTCTCGGCATCTGCTGCCAGATGGCCGCGCAAGAGACGCAGCGCGTGCGCCCCGCGCGCGACGGGCCCGCGGACAACGGCGTGTGGGGCGCGGGCGAAGGCGGCGCCAGTTGCGGCAGCACAAATAGCAGTCCTGGGAGCAGTCCGGGGCACAGCGCGGAAAGCAGTCCGACCAGCCATGGGGGGCGCGGGGTGGTTGTGGAAGCGGCAAGTATGGGGGTAGGCGGGTTAGAGGTGAAAGGCGTGGAGTTAAGAGGCGACCCGCGCGACGTGATTAGCAATTATTCGAAATACGTGGGCGCGGATATGCTGGTCATGGGCTCGCGGGGGAATAGCATGCTGAAAAGGTGAGCGGGTGGGTTGCGAGCGTATGCGTGTGCGTGTGTGTGCGGGGGGGCTGGGGTGGTGGAGGGAGGGGAGGGGTGGGAGGGATTGTTTAGATAGCGTTGGTGTGAGGATCTTGGGCATTGTAAGGACATAGAGGGGCGGTTGGTGAGAATGGCGGTTTAGGTAAAGGAATCGAGAGCAGATTCGCGTGGGCGCATGGCATGCCATGGCATGGTAGTTGTGAGGGTAGCATGCCATGGTTTTGCACTATGACTCGTATGTACTGTCTTAATGGCTTACCAGTCTCATCTCAAGAAAGAAGAGTCCTTGGGGATGGAAAGGTGGAATGCGGTATGTCAGACTGGTCAGTGTGGCAAGTGCGTGCGTTCGTGCGTGTGTGTGTGTGCGTGTGTGTGTGCGTGTGTGTGCGAGAGAGAGAGGGGGGAAGAGGGGAGCGAAAGAGATGAAAGAGAATTAGAGGGAAAGGAGCGCAAGAGGAGTGGTATATGGTGCGTCCTGTACCAATAAGTGCCCACCTTCCCCGTTGCCGATGCCCCCTTCCCACTTGTTCTCTTTTGCCCCAGGTTCCCTATGGGCAGTGTGAGCAACTACTGCATGCGTAACGCTGCGTGCCCTGTGCTCATAGTCCCAGCCCCAACCACGGGCACCACAGTCACCACAGGCCCCACTAGCCCCACTGCGGCTCTGCCAATCATGCACCCTGCACACTGTTGCTGCTGCTGCTGCTGCGGCTGCTGTGGCAGCTGCGGCCGCTGCTGCGGCTTCAGAGCTGCCGTGAGCAGAAAAAGGACCGGGGAGGGGGTGGGGAGGGGGTGGGGGGGGTTGGGGTATTGGGGTTGGGGTCAGGTCTGGGAGGGTGTACAATGGCTTGACGGTGGTGCTTGCCTTGCTTGGTTTGTTAGTTTAGGGAGAGGATCGGCACCAAAGCTGGAGATCCAACAACTTTGCTAGATGTTTAGTGTAGATTGGGTTGGGTGTACATTAAATATGAAAAGGTTGGTAGGCTTTAGTTAATAACGGCTGTGCTGTCCACTGCCAGAAGTTGTTAGTGAGCTTTAGTTAGTGTACTTGAAGCATATTTCTGGTTCCACTTTAGTGTGTTCCAAAACGTCATTGCTTGTTGAATTACATTGCATGGAAACCAGGAAAAAAGTTTAGTAAGTTCCCACCAGGGCCTCAGATTGGTTTCAGGGTACCCTGACCTATCAGGGCTGTATCCTAAAATATAAAACTTTATCCTGAGGCTTCAGCGCTGGATGTAATGGTTTCCCTGATTTTTCAGGGCTAAACTAAGTTTCATGATTAAGAAAGGAAATATCAGCACGGTTTCCCGTGCAGCTCGGTCATGGCCTAGTTGTTTGAATCTGCGAATTGTCACAGTGGAAGTATGGAGATCGATTCCCGCTTGCGTCGCGCATAGCGGACTATGTGAACGAACGTGATTTTCTTGTTATAAGACATTTCTGTGCTACTGTTCAGTGTTACAGGTACACCTTTATCTTAATTCCTCAGTGTAGGATACAGCCTAATACTGAAAGTTGTCAAAATGAAGAATGGATGATGCATTGATGTTGGTTGGGGTACATATAGCTAACCCTAAGTTTTGTACCCCCTAAGACAAACCTCACTATAGGCTACAACATTTGACACACCCCCATAGCCTAAGTGAGGGGTGTCTAGCAGAACCAAACGAGTACGGTCACAAGACCAGTCCAAGAAACAAAGCTCAGGGTGGATCACAACGTCACCACACAGTCTGAGCACAAACAACAGTGGCCACAAGGCCAGTCCAAGAAGTAACAGAGGTATATAGAAAGCAAAGTAAACAGTACACTCAAGTCTAAGCAACACGAGAACCAGTGTCAACAAGGCCTAACTGCACACAGCACCTCTGGTGGTCACAAGGCGGAAGCGCCTTGGTGAAGATGTCTGCAGTGTTGGCCTCGGACTCCACAAACTCAAAGCGAGCCTGTCCACGCCTCTGCAACTCTCGCAGAAGAAAGTACCTGACGTGAATGTGCTTCACTCTGCTCTCCAGTCGTGGCTCTCGACAAAGGAGAATAGACGCCTTGTTGTCAGTGAACAAGGTCGGTGCAGAGCTCGGCCGCTCACCAAGGTCGGTGAGCAAGAAGGTCAACCAACGCAGCTCCTGTGCCGCCATGGCACCAGCGTAGATCTCAGCCTCAGCTGTAGAGGTCGAGACCGAAGAGGAGCGCGTGGACCGCCAGGAAACAGCTCCAGAACCCAGGCTGAAACAGTACCCCTGAGTAGACCTGTGAGTCTCAGCGTCGTCAGCGTAAGAGGAGTCACAGTGACCAGTAAGTACGATAGACTGCTGCCCTCCAAGAACTAGCCCCACGCCTGACGTCGTCGCTAGGTACTTCGCCACCCTCACAGCTGCTGTCCAGTGAACAGGACGGTGTCTCCCTGGCGCAACAAAGCGCGCAAGAACGCTGAGAGGGAAGGTGAGGTCCGGGCGAGTACAAGTCATCAGGTACATGAGGCAACCCACAAGCTCTGCGTAGGGACCACTAGGCTCGAACGGCTCGTCAGGAAAGGGTCCAGTGAGTCTGTGGTCAACAGCAAGAGGTGTGTGCTGTACTGTGGAGTGCTGAAGCCCGAACCGCTGAAGGACCTGCTGCACCATGTGCGACTGTGAAAGTGTAATGGTGCGAGCAGCTCTGTCTCTGGTGATCTGCAGGCCAAGGTAGTGGCGCAGCTCACCAAGATCAGTGCAGGTGTGTCTCTTCTGCAGTTCGGACTTCACGTGTGCCAAAGCAACCCTGTCAGGGGTGGCGAAAACAAGGTCGTCAACGTAGACCAGAACAAAGAAAGGTGTGGGGCCACGACGAACGAACAGCGACGGGTCAGCAGAAGACGGCTGGAACCCAAGGTCAGACAGGGTAGAACGCAGGGTGTCGTGCCACTCACGAGGAGCCTGACGAAGACCGTAAACCGGTCGCCTCAGCCTCCACTGGGTCCCAGGAGGGAAAGAGCCAGTGAAGGCAGAGGGACGACGCAACCAGACCTCCTCGTGAAGACTGCCCTGAAGGAAAGCAGTAGAGAAGTCGAGAGAGTGTAACTCGTAGTCTCTCTGTGCTGCTACGTGTAGTAACACCCGAAGAGTGGTCATCTTCGGGGTGGGCGCGAAGGTCTGAAAGAAGTCAACTCCCTCGCGCTGACTGAAACCTCTAGCCACGTAGCGCGCCTTGAAGACCGGAGGAGATCCCGGTGGCCGCTTCACCCTGTAGATCCACATGCCGTCGACTACGTTCGCCCCCGGAGGGGGAACCTCATCGACGTAGGTGCCTGTGGATCTGTAGGAGGCCATCTCTGCGTCCATGGCAGCTCTCCACTGAGAGGCCCAAGGCCCTGACACTGCCTCAGCGTAAGTGCGAGGAGTCGGAATGTCAAGGGCGTCGGGGTCACCCTCAGGGGCGAGGAGCATGGCACAGAGATGAGGGGAAGCGGCCGCCAGGAACTCTAGCTCAAACTGCCTGTCCTCTAGGGCGTCACAGCCAAGGGCAGACACACCCCCGACGGCCAGAGGACTGGAAGGAGGAGCAGCCACAAGAGCGGTGGCGAAGTCAAGGCGGCGGGTAGAGGCAAACTCAGTGACTGCGGCAGTAAGAGCGGACACAGAGGACACAGAGGCACGAGGGTCGGTAACAAGAGAGGCGAGAACACGAGAGAGAACAGGACGGTACGTGCGGTAGTAGTCAGTGACAGGAGAAGGAAGCGACACAGTGAGGGCCGACTCAGGAGGAGACGGAAGCACAGACGGAGACGGACGAGGTGGACGAGAACAAAGGAAGGCTGTACGAAGGTCAGTGAAGGGAACAGGAGACGAGGGACGAGCACGAGGGGAGCGACGAGAGGCCTTAGTCTGAGAAGGAGGAGGAGACAACGAAGACTGAGAACGAGGGAAAACAGCGGGAGAGGGGTCAGGAGGAGGAAGCGGAGGACCAGAGACGGGAGGAGAGGGGGAGGAGGAAGGAGAGGGAGAGGGGAGACCAAGGGTCCGAAGACCCGAGACAGGAGGAGGAGACGGCAGCTGCTGCTGCTCCAGCGGCTGCTGCCCCTGCTGCTGCTCCTGCTGCTGTCGCTCCTGCTCCTCGAGCCGCTGCAACTCTCTCTCCTCTCTCTCCAACTCCAGCTGCTCCTCACGAGCACGGCGAACACGAGCCTGGAACCTGGTCGGGTAGGGGTGGGGGGAAGGAGTAGTGTCCGGGGCAGCGGCAGCCCCAGAGTCGACCTCCGAAGCACCAAGTACACCACCCCCAGAGGCAGCACCAACACCAGCTCCAGACCCAGGCTCTCTAGAAACCGAAGGGACACCCTCACCCCCAGACGCAGCACCCCCAGACTCCGCACCAGCACCCCCAGACTCCGCACGACCAGTACCAGCCCCCGGAAGACAAGAGTCCTCTGCAACCCGCGGCTCAGCTCCAACTCCAGCACCCCCAGAACCAGAGACCTGTACAGGGACAGTCGCAGGACCAACCTCCCGAGAGGGAGCACCTGCAGGAGGCGGCGAGGAAGACTGTGGGGAGGGAGGCTGTACAGGGGGGGCTACCGAAGGGGGAGGGCTAGCCTGAGACACACCAGACGGGGCTGGACCAGGGGGGGGAGGCTGTACCGGGGGAGCAGGCGGGGGAGCGGCGGTCAGGAAGAGAGGGGGGGGAGGGACCGGGAGACCTCGACTGGGGTACCTGACGTAGTAGGGGGTGGACTCCTCGAAACGGACGTCACGGGAGTCAAAGAACCGGTGAGAGGGAGGGTGGTAAAAGGTGAAGTCAGAGGAGTCCTCAGGGAAACCAAGGAAGACACAAGGAACGGCGCGAGGCGAGAGCTTGTCCGCGGAGGTGTCGCGGACAAGAGCCAAGCACCCCCAGACACGAAACCTCGACGCGACACCAGGGGACCCTGTCCAAAGACTGGTCGGTGAAGCCTCCGGCCGAGAGACGCGTGGCCAGAGGTTCAGCTGGTGCGCGGCGTACCTGACCGCGTATGGCCACAGGAAATGGGGGGCACGGGCGTGAGTCAAGGAGGTGCGGGCAATCTCCATGACCAGGCCTATGCGACGCTCAGCAACCCCATTCTGCTGTGGGGACTCCGGAAGCGTCCAGGACTGACGAATGCCCTGTTCGCGACAGAATCCAGCGAGAATGCCGGAGCGAAACTCGCCCCCGCGGTCGGAGTGGAGACAGCTGACACGACGACCACGAGTGTCCTGGGTGGTAAGCAACCACCTGATCAGCGTAGAAGTCACCTCAGACTTCCTCGCCAGGGGGAACACTGTGGTGTAGCGGGAGTAGTCGTCAACGACCACCAAAAAGAAACGCTCACGCTCAGGGCCAGGGCGAGGAGAGGGGCCCCAGACGTCCAAGTGCAGCGTCTCAAAAGGCTCGGTGGCCGGACGAAGGGAGGAGGAGTGAGGGGTGGCGCGCAGCCTACCCTCGACGCAAGGACCGCACGGTGGTGCAAGAGACGGCGGCAGCGACGGCAAGACACGCGGGAGACCTAAGACAAGACGCTGACGAGACATAGCGCGAAGACGAGGAGGAGAAGGGTGCCCCAGCCGGTGGTGCCACAAAACGGTGGGGTGGGCAAGCGACCGACAGGAGCACGACGCAGCGACCGGACTAGACGGAGGAACCTGACAAGACACAGCTACCTGGGGGGACGGAGCAACCTGGTGAGACGCGAGGACTCGAACGGGGGGCAAAACAGGGGCCGGGGGCAGGAGGGGCGGCTGTGGCTGCGGCTGCGGCTGCTGCTGCTGCTGCTGCGCCTGCTGCTGCTGCTGCAGTCGCTGCTGAGCGCGCGGGCCAGTGTGAAGAGTGTAGAGACCGGAGCCCGGCTCAGCAGCAAAAGTGGCGAGGGGCTGGTAAGAGTCCCCGTCAACACACACCGCAGTCTCTCCAGAAGGCTCAAACCACACACCCACGTGCTGACTCACGA